TCTGTTGGTTCCAGGACTTTCTTCTGCCCTGGTATCATGATGCCGTTCAAGAAAAGTTCTTTTCTAATCCTGTGCAGCTGTCTGAAAAGGTGTCTTTCAGTCAAGAAGGGAAGGAGGGAAGCTGGATATGGCTAACAGTTCAGAAGAACACAGAAGGCCAAACTGCTATGGACCCATCCTGATGCCTCTTCCCCAAGGTCTGGACCCTGTTTCCTTTCCTCTCTCAGCCCCAGTTTCTCCAAGGACCTCAGAGAAAACCGTCTCTGGATCCCTTCTCTTGAAGCTTTGTAACACAACAAGGCAAAGGCAGGAGATGTCTAAAAAAAGGCCAGGACAGCAGGGATCAGGAAACCAAGCTGCAGCCGGGCTGGGCCTGGAGCACAGAGGGAACCCAGAGTAAGGAAGTCCTCCCAAACCGCTTACACACATGACACTTCCTCCCAGGGCCCCACAGAGCGCAGAGCCCCTGTCCTGCCCTGCCTTCTCCCAGGGTGTGGTCAGGCTGCCCATTTCAGAAACCACCAGCAGCGTTCTCAGCAAGTGGGAGGCTGCCGCCCTCCTGGACCAGCAGGGATTCCCATTGCCCAGTAGGGTTGGAGAAATTGTGGCTATATTCCTTCGTGGAGGCCTTTGCCATCCCTGAGTGGGTAGGGGTAGAGGCAAGGGCAGCCCAGTCTCCTCAGGTACCCTCCTGGGACCTCAGCCTGATTCTTGAATCTCTGTGTTTTAATCCTGGATATGAGACAAGGATCAAAGCTGTGTAGACTCTACCAGGGCAATGGCAATTTTTTTTCCATCCTGTCTCAGCCACTGTTCCACTATGGCCAGAGAATTGCTAGTAAAACATTAAAATAGAAATCCCCACTGTCCAGAAATGGGTGTGGTATTGCCCCTCACCCCAAAGACAAGAAGCCTGGCTTGTGGCTCAAGGCAAATAGAGGTGAGGATGAGGGTAGGGAGGAGCAGGGTGGATGGAAGGCAGTAGCCAAGAAAATTATTAAATTGTTCCATCCCTGATGAATCACTGGGGACCTGCTAAATCCGTTTTTGATTTAAGAGTGATCCTGTGATGCCTAAATGCCCAGGCACTTCCTCTTAGACAAGGAGGTTCCTCCCTTCGTGCTCTGGGAGAGGCAGGTGTCCTTCCCTTGACAGCAGGGACAGATGCTAACTAGAACCTTCAACATGCCTGCTCAGCTCTCTGTTCAGCATCCTTAAGGACCTAGCCTTCCCCTGGGCTTGTACCCTGGTTTTTGAGCTGACACTGTCTTCCCCAGTGTTCAAGGGGCTAGCCTTATCTCCCGAGGAGGATGGCTCCAGATTGGCACCTCTGGCCGTGGACTCCTGTGAGGAGTCCAGAGAGCCATGGTTAACAAGTCCTGGATGAAAACCAGGAGAGGGGTATAATCAAGATGCCCTACTGGAGAAAGTTTCCAGATGAAGCTGGGAGCCCCAGTCGGTAGGCCAGGAAGGAAAGGGGGCCCACCTTCCACAGGTCTAGGATGGGATATCCTATCTTCCCCTCCTGCTTCACTCTTCTTGCTTCCAACTCAGGAACGCTGGAGCAAGTTTGGAAAATGCAGCCAAGCTGTTGGTGAGCTTATGGCAACGGCGTGCTGCCAAGCCCGCCCTCCTATCCCACACTCTCTTCCTGGTGGGCCTTCTGCGGGGAATGAAGCCACTGCACTCTCCTGCTGGCTTATGGAGAAAATCCCTGCTGGCAAGAGGTGGAGTCCACCCTTTCCATCTCCCCTGCATGGTATGGCACAGAAGCTAGGCATTAAAGCCTGGACCACACCCAGCAATGTTCCTTTCCCATACAACCAACTAATCACGCTGATCGCGTCCTTAGCTTGCATCTGAGGCTCTGGTCAGCATCCTCTGAGATGGAGACTCAAGTTCTGTGGACCTCTGAAGAAACAAGGAATCCCCAGGTCATCCTATGAACGGTCGGCTCTGACTGGCACCAGCCTCACTGGGCATGTCAGGAGCGGGGCACATCTGGAAAAGCACTTGCTGGGACAAAACTGTGGCTGCCACTAGGGCCTCAAGTCCTGCCTGGAGCTTGAGCATCTGCTTTTTTTAGTCTGGCCTGAGCCTGGGAGTCTGTTCACAGAAAAGACACACGAGGCGGTCCCAAGACACTGGGACACCATGAAGTTAGAAGCACAGCTGGCACCAGTCCTTGAACCTAGGTTCCTAGGTTGAGTGCTCTTCAGGGTGGGGCTGCTCCCTCCTCCTCTGTGATTGCACCTTAGATCACTGCAGCCCTCCCCACCCCAGCTCTGCATGGGAGCTGGAGCTGCTCTCACTGGCACCGATGTCCACCCTAAGGCTTGTAGCCTAACGCCCTTGCCCTTTGTTCTGGGCCAGTGAATGGGGTAGAGCAACCTGTTCCTTGGGGACCCTTCTTTGGGAATTGATGCTTAGGCTCTGGGATCAGGATTAAGTGGTGGAGCGTGCTAATGCCAGTATCCCTTACCTTGGCACTTCACCGAGGGCTACCCCAGCCTCAGTAGACACTGCCTACTTTCTGCCTGTCTGTCTTGGCCAGACAGCCTGGATTGTGACAGAACACCGAGAAAGAGGTTGGGCTGTAAGGCCTTTCTGTCTGACATCCAGCCAGGAACCTCCCACTGTCCCCTGCAAATAGCCAGTTCAGAATTGCAGTGGCCCCTCGGCGTCATGGGAGGTAGTGACAGATAAGGTCCCTGATGGTCTTTCTGTCAATACCTTCATTCTGATGGCATCTGCTACAGTTGACATGATCACTTTTGCCCAGAGAATGGAGCTGTGATTGTAGGCTCAGTTGTTATTGGGTCTACACAGAGTTTGTGAGGTGGTGTGGAAGAAGGGAAGCTTCAGGAAGACAAGGGGCTGATCTGTGTGGCCCATGGTTGTCCAGCAGTATCCAAAATGGTGTTTGACATGCTATCAGTGCTAATAAAATACCTGTGCTAGGAAATAGTAGTTTTCAAGGAAATCATGACACTGCTCCCAACACACACACACACACACACACACACACACACACACACACACACACACTGAGGCATATCACATACTTCAACCACAGTTGACCTGGTCAACAGATACTGCATAGTCTCTTGGGACATAGTTAGGTCCAAACAGGCTCATATTTCCTCACTTGGTTCTATTGTACTGTTCTGCTGCCTGGCCACACCGGCTTCTGGAAAGTGTTCTTCCTACTGTTTTCCTAGACTCCTCCTGGCTTGGTCCCTGAGCCAGACAGCATTAGGTCTGATCCTTGCACAGCCTTGCAGCCTGATCTTTGATTAGAGGCATCTGGAACTGAAGAATGAGCTCCTTGACGGGCCATGTCATTGTCAGGCCACAAGGGAACTTCTCAGAATATAGGATGTGGTGGAGGTTCTGTGAGGTGGTCCATCATACTGACTGCCTCCCTAGAGGGTTAATAAGCCTTCGATTACCTCCAGCTGCTAAGACTGCCTGGGCAGAGGGAGCCAAACAGTCTCTATACCACCGTTCTGCTCAGAGTGGCATCCTTTTGCTTGGCCTTGTAAGAATTTAGGTGCATGGTGGTGAATACATTCCCAACCAGCCTCCTGTTCCCATCAAACATACCACAGATCCCTGCAGATAACACCCAGCACCAGGGCTGCAGCTAGACACAGGTAGCCCTTGGGAGACAGCATTATTTTCTGTAGGGTGAACCCAGGATAGAAGGTGCTTGGCCCACACACCCATCCTGTCTACCTTGACAGAGGTCAGATTCAAAGACGACTATCTTCTCTCTCAGTGGGCCTTGGTTTCCCACCTCTAATGACTAAGAAGCCAATGATCCTGAGAAGACCTCAGGTGGGAAGAGAGGGGACCTGTACAGCCCAGGCCTTGCTCTGTGGCCACAGAGAGAGTCCCTCCGCCCCCTGCTGGGCCTGGTTTACCTTCCAGCATACTCACACAGGAGGTGTGTGACCAGTTCTCTGGTCCTTAACTCCAGGTTCTGGGGTACACAGGGAGCAGCGCCGGTCTGTAGCATGGCCTCCTCCCCTCCTGCTGTTGGAAAGTGCCTCTGGCCTACCTCTTCCTTTGTTTCTGTATCTCGACTCTGGTTCAGCCAAATGTCCCCTCCTCCATTTGTGCTCTTCCCATTTCTGAAGTATTGTTTTTTTGTTCTCTGTGTTGCTGGGGATTGAACCCTGTTCCCAGCCCAGTATTTTACCCTCAAGCTACATCCCTAGCTCTTCCTGCTGCCTCCCTGTCTGGCTGGGAGACCCTCTTTCACTTTCTACTCTCACAGATAATGCTTCCCACCGCCCCGTCTGTCATCCCATCTCTCCGTATCTTGTGCATTTCCCTTGCTCCTATTTTCAGGTCCAGCTGCCATTCCTTCTATCTCCCCAGTGGCCTGCCAGCTCCATTGCCTATTAGAGAAAAAAAATTCAGTTCAAGGATTTGGGAGAGCATTCAAACAGCCTTGCCTGGCTCAGGCCTATCCTTGTCTGCAGAATGGTAGGTGGCGCTCAGAAAGCTTCCTACCCCCATCAACTGAGGCCTGGGTGGTGAGGTGACATCCCCAAAGTGACAAGCAGCTGCTTGGCCCAGGCCAGGACATTGGAAGCCAGACTGGCTCTCAGATCCCTGGGCCTGAGGACTTCAAATGAGTAACTGCTCAGAGTGGGATGGGACAGGCAGGCAGATTCAGGTGCCACCTCCGGGGAGGGCAACGTCCATCCTCAGAGTCCAGTCAACCCCTATTCCCCACCCCCTCTAAAGTGCCTGGCTCTGCCCTCAGGCACCCTTGAGCTTTGCAGGCTGGGCGGGGACACCTGGATTTCTTCAGCCCCCCAGAAGGGCCAGCTTGGAAGAATTTCCCAAAGCCTATTAGAGCAACGGCTGCCTCCTGCCTGCCTCCTCAGGCTGGGCAGGGCCAAGGGCTGAGGCGGGTGGAGGGAGCAAGGGAGGGCAGGAGGGGGAGAGGAGGAAGGAAAAAGTTGGCAGGCAGACAGCAGAGCCCTGTCTGCATCCATCGCAGAGGAGGCCCGTGTGGTGTGGGGCGGGCCAGGAGCAAGGAGAGGCCTTCCTCCCTTTGTGCTCCCCCCACCCAGCCCTATAAATAGGCCCAGCCCAGGCTGTGGCTCAGCTCTTGGAGGGAGTTGAGCACCAGGCAACCAGCAGTTAAGTCGAGCCCCCTGCCAGCATGGCCAGCGAATTCAAGAAGAAACTCTTCTGGAGGGCTGTGGTGGCCGAGTTCCTGGCCATGATCCTCTTCGTCTTCATCAGCATTGGCTCTGCTCTAGGCTTCAATTACCCACTGAAGAGGAACGAGACGCTGGTCCAGGACAACGTGAAGGTGTCGCTGGCCTTTGGTCTGAGCATTGCCACTCTGGCCCAAAGTGTGGGTCACATCAGTGGTGCTCACCTCAACCCAGCTGTCACACTGGGGCTACTGCTCAGCTGTCAGATCAGCATCCTCAGGGCTGTCATGTACATCATCGCCCAGTGTGTGGGGGCCATCGTCGCCACTGCCATCCTCTCGGGCATCACCTCCTCTCTACCCGAGAACTCACTTGGCCGCAATGACGTGAGTGGGGTATCCCAGGCTTGGGGGAGGGGTCTACAGGAAGGCACTGACTCCATTTGCCTACTGTGCAGTGGGGACACTGAGAAACACAGAGAAAGATGAGGGTCTCTGCTGTCATGCCGAGAGCCGGGGCTGGGACTCAGGTGTGTTGTAGGGCTCATTTGCTGCCAGGTGCTGTGGGTATGGGAGAGCTAGACACTAATGGTTGTGCCAAAGTCCCCTGCAGAGTATCTACTGCCAAGAATGAGTTGAAGGGGGCAGCCAGCTGCATGCCGGCAGCTCCTGTCCTCTCCACTGGAGTTTCCTGACCCTTCACTGTCCTACATGAGAAGTCACTTTCCTCCTTGGCAACCCTGTGCCCTAGACGGCCTCTACGTACTGTCCCAAGTCTACTTTCTCCAGATACACATGTTTGAAACCACTTCTGCAAGCATCTGAGTGTGATCCCCTTGTGAAGTTGCCTGAACTTCTGGGCAGCCCCAATCTGCACTCAGGTCTCTCAAGTCAACTTTCCCAGAAAGGCAGGAGACAGCCCCCTTCTATTCCCCTGGCCTCAATAATCAGACAAAGTTGAAGGAACGAAACTCTCCGGAGTTGTCAGGAGAGTTTTCTGGATAGCAGTTTAGGAGAAGGACTCAGCTCTCCAGGCCTTGTCAACGGAACCATGTGCCATGCATGTTTGTGTGTGGAAGCGGAAGCAAAGGTGTGCGTGCACACACCTACATGTGTAAGCTATTGTCAAGTTGATGCTGCCATTTGAGTGTGTAACCAATTGTGCCCATCGTTCCTGGCTTGAATGATAAGCAGATGGTGACAACTGTTCAGAATAACTGCCCCTGGGCTCCACACTGCTAAGTGGCTGGCCTTGGTGGCAGCTGCCTGGTCACAGACCTTTTCCAACTTCTTATTAGCTCAGTGGCTATGCCAAGTGCACTTCAGTTTAATGGGGACAAGTTTAGTGAGAGTGTCTGAGGATAGGTGGAGGGTGCCTCAGAGGGGACTAGGCTGGAATCCCTCTGTGGAGGCAAAGACCAAATGGTAGAGTAGAGGAACCAGCCCCAGAGAAACAAAGCTGGCTGGATCCCGGCAGGACAGGTGCATGGGGATAAAAGCAAGAGAGGAGTCCAGAGCTCATGTGAGTTGGATGGTTATGGGTGAGTAGATTCAGTTCCCAGCTGAAGTTCAAGTCCCAGAGATGCAGACGGGGATGGAGGTGAAAGTCTGGTGCAGAGGGCAGCTGATGTGGCCCCACTACAGGGACGAGTATTTCCGTGTCGTAGTGTCATCTCCGGATCACGCTTTTAAGTCAACCTCTGCTCAACTGGAGATTGAAGATTAGCCCTGAGCCTGGAGTTTAGACTTTAGCAGGAGAAAACTTGGCTACAGCAGGCGCAAGGGAGCAGAATTAGACAGGCTGTGTCCCTCTAGACTTCGGTCTCTCCAATAGGAGCAGGGCTAGGTGCCTTACTAAATTCCTCTGAGAAGGCTCAAGTTCCCACTGAGGTGGAAGCTGGGGAGGATGGAAGCGATGAAGGGCCCCTGTGGGAAAGAAGCGGCAGAGACTCCTAGCTCTTGTCCCTTCCAAGGCAAGTGACAGGCAAGACCTATGCCCTTGCTGACAAAGGCTTTGCATATTGCATATGCAATATGCCATCCAAGACAGCGGCAATACGTGATTGCTTTGGTGGCGCCTGTGTCTGGCTACGCCCCCGCCCCCCCCCCCCCCCCCCCCGCTTCAGCCTCTGCACCCCCCTCCATTTAACAGAGTTGCTCCTGTATCTGTGTCAGGCAAATACAGACGAAGGAGAAGGAGTTTGCCCCCCCCCCGTGGGGGACAGCTTGGGGACAGGCACCTTAGCCTGAAGTCCTGTTTGTTGTTAGCCACTGAGTCTTCTTGGAGCTGAGTATCGACCGAGAGGGGGCTTAGGTTCTGCTGACGTTTCTGCTATCCCCATGCTACCGGCTTATATAGTTGGCTGGAGCTAATTACCAACCCTGGCTAAGAGGCCCCCCAGTGACAGTGCCATGTGGGAGGGACCAAACATTGTGTTGAGGCTCCTACCACCCGTCCCAACTGTGGACCCTTGGTGTGCAGGACACAGTCTGGCCCCCAGCCAAAGAGCTCTCCTTAGGTAGTGGCTCCTGGACCTGGAGAGGCTGGGGTGGTTCTTGAAGCCACAGGGGGACAAGCTGTCAGTGGAACAGGTGGCAGTCACTCCTTTGCATCCCGGGGGGGGGGGGCTCTCACAGCTCCTCAGCTTCTACCCCCGCCCTGCTGCCAAAACCTGGGTGGGGTAAGTTGTTGGCATGGAGATTTCCAAAGAAAATAGAGAGAAAAGTGGCAGGAAGTGGTTGGGTGAGTCAGGGGGTGTCCCCTGGAGACATGGTGGGGACAACTCTCTCCTGACTAAGCTGGGGCTCGGGGAACGCCCTAGAGAGACCGCAGGCCTCCTATAAGTCCTATAAGTCCCTTCTGGGCCCAATTTTCACTCCTGGTCGGAGGCTCTGAGGTTTCCTGCCCAGGGTCAGCCACCTGCACCCTATATTGCTCCATGCAATTGACGGGGCTTAGATGGCCCTAGTTCCCACCTATGAACCATGAACAGGATATGAAAGGGTGTGGCTGGCTTTGGAAAGTAGAGGATGCTGGGGCCTTAGAGTCCTGGCATCCTGGCTGTTTTCATTCTTCCCCTCACAGGCCCTCATCCTTCAGAAATGACTCGGGCTGCTGGGTGCTGAGGGTAAGGCCGGGTCAGCCAGGCTCCCTGCACTGGGCAGCTCGTGGGCCTGAGGCCAGATAAGCAGCACAGCTGCCTGCGATAGCAGGCAGGAGGCAGGTGAGATAAGAGGTGTCAGGGTGGGTCAGGGAACGTTTGAACTGGAAGGATGGGAGGGCCAGGAGAGCTGCAGGGAGGTGGCCCTGGAAGAACCCAAATATGGAGCGAGAAGGGACTTCTGGGCAGAGCTCAAGCAAAAGGTAGGAGAGGCCATGGACACGAGGCGGCCATTGAGTTTGGGCAGACTTGGGTCATGATAGAAGCCTGGCTTCTGAAGGCCGTATCTGGAGGGCACTATGTTCCAGAGCCTCCCAGTCTAGCTACCTGAGGATTCAGGAACAGGGCACCCCAGTTCTCTTCAGGGTCATCTCTGAGTCCTATTGATTGAGGACCCACCTGCTATATCAGAATGTATCTATCTTGGCTCTAAATTCCCAGTCTCCTCCCAGTTTCTGGGTGTTAGTGCCCCACGCAATGAGGAGAGATGGGGAGGGGCTTTCTTACCTGTAGGCCTGTCGGGGTGAGGCCCCTGATGCCTCCACTAGGACTGAGGAATGGCTATGAGAAGAATGCCCTGGCCGAGTTCAGCGTGGCCAGAGACAGAGCTGGGGGCTGGGTATAACAACACGGCTGGGACCTGTAATTATTGTTTCCAGACAGAACCTAGGAGAGAGAGGGCAGTGGGGAAGAGCATCTAGAGGCGGAGCTTTGTGCCAGAGTAAGCATCCTTGCTCACACAATTCTGAGGCCTGGTCTGCCACAGCATCCGATGAGCAGCACAGCTGGTGTGGACCACCTGTGCTACCTGGGACAAGTACTCCAAGAGGGGATATGCAGGTGACATCTGAGGAAAACTGCTCCCACCGCACCCCACCCCAGCCTCAGCCCATCTGCCCTGGTGTTCCCCCCTCTAGCCTGAGTAGTCTTCGATAGCTCATCTGAAAGCCCCTATATAGCTTTACTCTCTCTAAGGACCTACTCAGGGTATCTTCAACTGCAACCCACCAAGCCACTTTAGATAGGTCACACTAACTCCTCTCCCCCCCCCAACACCACACACACTCCCAGGGTGTCATTCATGGTGACAGAAGGGCCTTAGGTTCTTGCTCGGCTCGAAGCAGTCCCCTGGGAACTCAAGTCATGGGAACTCTTGTCCTTACCATTTAGAAACACCTGTAGGTCTCAGAACTCTGGAACAGTTGAAACTTCAGCCTCATATCTACAAATATGGGCCGGAAAACATCCTTGAGGCTCCATGGTGATCAGGGATTCCTCTGTCTGGGCTTTTTTCTGGAGACTAGAGGGGCTCCTCCAGAACAGTAAGGTGGTACCTAGATGGGATTAGCAGAGGCTACCCTTACTCACCCAAGCAACTGATATTCCTGAGAATCCTTGAGATGGAGACTAAACCCCATAGACTTGTACTTAGGCTTCTGGATGCTGACTAGAGGGACACTACCTGATTTCAGGTGAGGAGGAATCTGAAGGCTGCCTGGGACTGAAGTTTAGTCCAATGCCTCTATTCTGTTGTTAGGAAAACTGAGACCCAACTAAGGCCTAGATCCTTGTTAAGGTGGTACAGTGGGTAATGTCAGAGAGGGACCAAGCTTCAAGCCTTCTGCCTCCCAACCCTCCAAAGTGCGCATATGCTGCACAAATGTGTCGACAACCATGTACATACATGACACAGAGCACAGAACATGTTCTCAACACTGCTTGGATCTGGGGGCCCGAGTGGGGGCGGAAAGTTCCTCACTGGAGCCCCTTCCTCTCCCTACCCTGCAGTAAGGAAAAGGAGGAGAGGAAGCTGGAAACCATTGCTTTGTGTATTGTTTCTTGTCAGAAAGATAAAATGGTTCTGGGAGCAAATAAAGGGCCTTTGAGAGCAGCTGCTTTCTCACTTGAGGGGTCGCTTCCTCGGCCACTTCCCTCCCTTCTCCAGCCAGTAGTGGCACCACCCCTGTGGGTGTGAAGCACGAGGAGGGACACAGGGACACGGTGACGCATTCAGCAACGCCTTCAGACACACCAGTGCAAACACACAGAAACCATCTGGGACTTGGTGCTCACAGAGACCCCTGTCCTGCAGGGCATGCTTGACGACGACTGGGTGGCTTAAGTCACCGACATTCTCAAGCTCTGCTGGGGAACACTTGTGTTTTATTTCCCTCAGGGACTTCAAAAGTCTGATAAGCCTCTAATCCCAAGGTGCGGGTTTCTCCTACTTTCCTTTAATCAAGTATTGCTAGTGATGTGGCTCAGTTCCTTCCTGCTTATGCTATTAGATCTTTTGACTGCCTCCGTCTATCAGTTTCCAAGGGGAGGATTATTTAAAAAAAAAAAAAAAAGTTCACTTTGGCAATAGGTCGATCCGATTCTTGTAACTGTCCATTTATTTTAATAATTAACTTTCAGTCTAAACAATGATTTTACAGCCTATAGGTCTAATATTTTTATAGTTCTTAGATCGTTCAATTATTCTGTAATAAACCTGTTAAGGTCTAACAAAAGAGAAGGAGTGAGAAGCATGTAGACACAGCCGGTGGTGGGCCATAAACCCGCTTAGCTGTACACTGAGCTATGTGCACATGGCACATGTAAGTACTGACTATGAGGTGACAAGGTGGGGACCTTCCCAGGCCAGTGAAGAGTCCTGGAGGCAGTGGGTGGGCAGACAGCCATGTCTCTTAGGCTGTTCCTTGAGAGCAGAGCCTCTGCCAGGCCTAGCTCGGGACTCTGCTGCGCCCCAAGGGTGGGGCACAGGGCAGCTTTTTTTGTGAGCTGTCCCGGGTGGCTTGCCTGCAAGTGGCAGGGAGGATTCAGGTAGCATGGCATGGAAAGGTCAATTCTGAGCTGGGACACACTCACCTCCTGCCAGCAACTCATTCCAAGCTGGGAGCAGTCTGGTCCCTTGGCAGCCAGCCCATTAGCCTATGAACTTTGGGGGACAAACCCTGAGGTGAGGGTCCTGGCCTTAAGGCCTTCTCCTTGCCCACAGGTGTTTGCTCTGTCCATTTACACATGAGTCTGAGAGGCTACTGGTTGGCGGATCATCTCCCAGCTAAACAGTAAAGCATAGGCCCTTCACTCTAAGAGCTTGGGTGGAGTCAGCTGCCTTAAAGAGCTTGCAAGTTCTGGAAACTGTGTACTTTCGACCTCTTTTGTACTGCACAGTGGGCCTCCCTTCAGAGATTTGCAGAGACCTGGCAAGGCTCCCAGGCTAAGCGGGACAGCTAGGTGGCAGGTAGATTCCCCTTCTCACTTGCCCAGGTGCTTCCATGAGGGTGTGACAGACGCAGAAGGAAGCCAGGTCCCATAGAATGCCCAGAGCCAGTGTGTCTGAATGGTGGCTTTAGCCATGAGCTCACCTGGGTCCTACGACTGGGAGGGTTGGGATGCGTCCACCAAGAGCTGCGTGGCTTCTCCCTCCACTCACACTTGCATTCACCAAACTCACTGTGCTGTTTCAATGTTAACCAGTGAAAATCCAGGCAAAACTCGGCACACATGTGCACGCTTGTATTCTTTCCTGTGATAAACGGCAGCTACTGGGATTGGCACTATTAAAGCAGTTGTTTGAAATGTAATGGGCTGTACACAATGCCTCGGTCTGAATTTCTAACCTGCTCTTTCCTGGACGTGCAGTTTCGGCAGACCTTTATCCTTTCCGCGCTTCTTACCGTTTTCCCAGATGTAAGCAGTTCAAGTACATTAGGCGGTGGAAGAGCAGTCATTAGCTGCTGTGGCAGTCGAGGTGGGCGAGGGGGGCGGGGGGGGGGAAGGGGGAGGCGTGGGGGGCTGGCGATTATACTGGGGCTGGTAGTAGATGTGGGCATTGGAAGGGAAAGGCTGCCAGCCTTCTTATGGCTTTTGGCAGTCAGGAGTGGGTACCCTCTGGAGTTCCCAGGCATCCTGAGGACTCAGACCTCTGGGGCTGGCACTGCCTGCTTGGCAATGTGTGGAAAGTGGTACCTCAGGTGTGACCTGTGACTCAACCCTGGTTAAGAACCAGGGGAAGAGATGAACTGCCATTGACTATATCTGTGAGAAGGGCAGGGTGGGGATTGGATCTGAGCAGGAGACTTAGGGATAGCTCCGTTAATTGGTGAGTAAGTGCTCATCTCAGGAACCCTGCCAGCTAGCAATCAGGCCATCCCAAGAGAGCAGAGGAGACGGAGGGAGAGAAGCCATGAATTTAAATGAGGGCCACAGCCTTCTAGGCGGAAGAGCAGATGGCCATCATGGCCTTCCAGTCGTTCCTCCATCAAGCCTTCCCAGCTTTAGGCAGCCTCTGCCAGGTGATGTAGCTATCCTCACGTTCATTTCCACCTCCTGATACTTCTTGCTTTTGCCACCTTCACCAAATGCCTGAGACAGCCCTGTGGCCTTTGAGTCTTCCGGAGGCCCTAGAGCCTAGAGTTTAGACAAAGCCGAGACCTTGAACCCATTTTGCAGATGGGTGACCTGAGGCTCAGAGAGAGCCATGCTTATGGAGCCAACAAGTAGAAGAGTAAGAACCTGGACACAGGGATCCTGCCTCTATTGCCTGACTTAGTGGGATGATAACTGGGCATTGCCCCAGAAGGCTCACTGGGCATAGGGGACACACGTTTGGGGTTGTCCAGAAAACTAAAGCTGGGGCTTCGAGGCAGCGGAGGGGATGTGAGTCATTCCCCGAGAGCCAACACTGCAGACAAAGGCGGGAAGAGAATTGTTCTTGTGAGAGGGCCTCAGGGCCGAACTTGGAAAACCCCTCAAGTAGTGAAGGTGTGCCTCCCACCTAGGACCCTGTGGAATGCCTGGTGGCCTGGGAGATAGCACCTCTCAGTTGGGGAACTGGAAGTGAGCCTTTAGTGTCAGCTTGTTGGGGCTCAGCTCTCCCTCCTGGGAGGCAGACCAAAAACAGAATACCCCAGCATCTTCACCAACATGGCCCAGCTCCCTGCGGGGTGCGCTTGGCCTCAGCCCCTGACCTGGAGCAGCTGTATGGATCTGTTGGGAGGGGTCTTCTCACTGCAGCTTCAGGGATGGTAGGACTCTAGTGACTTCTCATTCCCTTCTTTTTCCATGAGTCATGTTTCCAAAAGTGGCTCAGGCACAGAAGAAGCCAGACTACAGTGGTAGGGGCCCATGTAGCCAAAGAGAGGGAAGGCAATGCTGGGCCCAGGAGAGGGAAGAGAAAAGGGAGGAGATGCAGAGAGGGAGAGGAGATGGAGATAGAGAAAACTCTGGGCTTGAAAGCAGCAGCTCCACTTGGGTCCTCCAAGCCATGCTTTTATTCTCCTATGGGTGTCCCATGTATGAAGCTCACCTGTAATACTGAGCCAACAAGGAGGCCCCGCTTCACCGGGGCTGGACAGGATCAAGCTAGAGGATCAACAGGTGGGGGGGGGGGGCAAGGGCTGCTTTTATTACCGGTTGCACATGCCTGGCCCTCTCTGGGGTCACAGTGAGAAGCTGACTGATTAGCTGTAAAGGGATGGAGACTGTCTGGTGGTGCCCGTGCCACCTGCCTATCTCACTGGGCCTTTTCGCTTCTCTCCCCTGCAGCTGTCTCAAGGTGTGAACTCTGGCCAGGGTCTGGGCATAGAGATCATTGGCACCCTGCAGCTGGTGCTGTGCGTGCTGGCGACCACCGACCGCAGGCGCCGTGACTTAGGTGGCTCAGCCCCCCTTGCCATTGGTTTTTCTGTGGCCCTGGGACACCTGCTGGCGGTAAGTAGGGCAATTCCCAGGTGGGGGCCATGGTGGGGGTGAGGTCCATGTCAGAACTGGTGAGTCGGGCTAGTGTGGTGTGTGGATGGAACTTCCACCGTGGGGTGGGGGGTGCCAGACAAAGGTCACCAGGGCCTCTCATCATGCTGCGCTCTCCTCTGGGGGAGTGTTGGTTTTCCCTTTCTCTGCCCTTTCTCCTCCCTAGCCTCCCTGTCACTTTCTCTACGCTTTTCTTCTTTATATGCAGATTGACTACACCGGCTGTGGGATCAACCCTGCCCGGTCATTTGGCTCTGCTGTGATCACCCGCAACTTCTCAAACCACTGGGTAAGTCACTGTGGGCAGCCAGGCACATGATGGAAGCGAGTTCTATTTTCCCCTCACAGAAATTCTGGGGGACACACAGGGCAGAGGAAATCAAGAGATCAGAGCCTGAGATGAAGGAGGGCTTCGCATCATGAAAAGATTTGTATCTCCTCTCCACTTTGGCAGCTCAAGCCCACTGCCCTGGCCACTACTTTCCCCTATTAGCCTAACAATGTGGTAGAGAGTGGGGTTCGAATCTTGGCTCTGCCACTTTTGGATTTAGCAACCTCGGGCAGGCTTTGTGCCTTGGTTTTCCTGGCTGTGAATGAAGCAAACGTAGGACAGTTGGCTCTCTCAGGGCTTTTAGGATCAGGAGAGCACCCATGTCTACAAGCAGAGCTCTGAGCAGAGGAAGCATTGCGTAGGTTTTTGCTCTAATTACTATTGGTCTGTATCCTTCTGGCCACTCTTTTATTAGACTTTCCCGTCTCTGGGAACCTCTGAGACTGGGGGAAGGGAGTAGTAGTAGTAGCCATCCTCAGGAATGGGCTGCTACAGAGATGCCTGATCTGGGCACAGAGGCCAGGACATGTCCCTACTACACACCCTGATATGGGCCTACACTGAGAGGCACTGGAATCAGAAAGTAGAGGCCTGGTCTGTCTGATTCTGACTCAAGGGAGATGTGGGGAGATTCCAAGGGGGGAGGACGGGTGGTGTGGCCAGCTGACCTCTAAACTCTCATGCTTCTTTCCTAGATTTTCTGGGTGGGGCCATTCATTGGGGGTGCCCTGGCAGTGCTGATTTATGACTTCATCCTGGCCCCACGCAGCAGCGACCTCACAGACCGCCTGAAGGTGTGGACCAGTGGCCAGGTGGAGGAGTATGACCTGGATGCTGATGACCTCAACTCCAGGGTGGAGATGAAGCCCAAATAGAGGAGGCTTGGCCTAGGCATCCATATGGGGGTGGGGCAGGGATGGGCGGAGGGAGGGGAGGGCTGAAATCATATTGTAGACGCTCTGACAGGCTGACAAAAGTCACTCCCCAAGACCGCCTGACCTGAGTGGTCCCGCCTTGTCTGGGGCAGCAATATCACTGTCTTTCTTTCTGTTTCCTGGTCTCAGAGCTTCCTAGGGACCAAGACTTATCAACTCAGCACCTCATTCCATTGACATCAGGAGGGGTGAAAGGGAGGGGCTCCCCTGCTAGCTGTCCTCTCAGAGTGCTAGAAAGCCCCCCCATCCCAAAGTTGCCCGGCAAGTCACCCACCTTAGGTGCCTGGGATTCTGCCATTGTTGCTTTGTGCCTTTGATCATGGCCTTCCTTGGGTGGGCATCTTGTCCCCAAAGACACTTTGAGGGAGAGGAGGTCCCCTAACTTTTGCCTTTGGCCTGACTTATCTCCAGGACCCTTCCCCTTAGACTCACAATAGGACCTTGAAATTGTCCCAGTGCTGGGGCCTCAGTGACCACTTCTGTAAAGTGGCAAGGAAGGGACAGCTATGGGGATTCATTAAGTGTGGATGTACCACAGGCTCTAGAAGAAACAGTGTAGACAGCATTGCTTTGTCTACCTTGGCCTGAGCTCTTTGCCAACATCCACAGCCTATGAGCACGTGAGGATGAGCTATGGAGCAGAGATGTAGTTCAGGATGCTGGGAGTGCCTGGTCACCTGAGAGGCTTCCTTTAGGTAGGTTTGCTGGAGCAGAGTGAAGGTCATTTTGTGGTGGAGGAAGAGCTAACACTCTATTATGGAGCTCTAGTTACATGACCCTGATTGGATAGTGTTTTTCAGTTCTCCATCCCCCTTGCAGTGTGGATCTGGAGAATGTGTTTATTAAAGAGCATTGAGCTATCTGTAGCACAGTGTCCAAGGTGGGAAGCCGCTAGATGTGGAGCAGCCCTGGGCATGCAGGGGCTTGGCTGGCCCTAGTTCACATCATGATCAAGGAGGCCACTCCCGGCCCTGGCGTATGAGCTCCTGGCTGTCTGCATTTGGTCAGAGCCTGGACAACCGGAACAGGCTCACTGTGTGACCCTATGCATAGTCTTCTTTCCTTATTGACCCGATGATACTTCTCCTCCAGCCCAAGGACAGCTCAGAGCACAGTCAGCTCAGGGGTGGGCATCTTGAGTTCAGCTCCCTAGGTTGGTCCATTCATCAGATCAGAGTGGCTCCACCACCGTGCCCTTGACCTTATTGTGAACATAAACCGAGAGATACATTCCTCAGGTGCTTAGAAGTGGCAGGACAGTTAGGAGGCCTATGGCTGCACACTCTTCTCCATTCCCTAGCAGGCACTGTAGCTCACTTAGCGGATAAGGACACTGAGGACCCATGTGCCTAACTAGATCACGCTGGGTCAATCTTAGCAGCCAAGGCCTTGTCTGTCCATCCCTTGGGCAATGACGTGGACTCCTCTCCCCTCCAGCTTCAGTTTCTGCCTGGGTAATGGCTAAGGGCCTGGGGCGGTAGTGAGGGATATGCTGGAGAAGGCGGGGCAGGCCCATCCCACCTGGTTCTGGCCACTGTGATCAAGGGCTCCGCATCTGTCTGCTCTGTGTATGTTTCTTTGCAATTGAAATTTTATCTTATGGTAAGAAAATAAAGGACAATGACTTGTAAGGTCCTCCAGGCTCCCTGTGGTTTTTGCTTTGTTGGTATTGCATCCCCACAAAGGATGTGATCGCTACCCTGGTCTCACTGCTATGCCATTGAGTCTGGGAAGGGGGCAGATGCCCTGTGTCCTAAGGAGGTGGGCACAGGGTTTCATTCTTAGTAGGGAGATTTCTGAGGATGAAAAGACCTTGGGACAACAATGGAGAAGTGAAGGAAAATTTGGGGCCAGTTTAAGTGGTGTGATAGGAGCCATTTTGGGCTCTGGAAGATGGAAGAGTTAGAGGAAGCAGGGTTATCCCTGTTATCCCTCTGTCCTCAGGGCAGAGGCTGAGGGATCATAACTCTGCCAGACCTCTACCTTCTCTCAGGTCACTCTGAAAGTCCCACCCATACTTGTGTCTTGGGACCCCCAGGGAAGCTTTTTGGGGTTGATTCATCAGAGAAAATGACTCCTGTGTTATCTGAGAATTGGATGTAAGTTCCTGACACTGACCCCATGTGTGACATATAAAACACTTCGGGGCAATTGTGAACCTAGCCACTGGGAACAGGCCATGGGTAAGCCTGTTCCTTCCACAGAGGCTTATTCTGGGAGGCAAGAACCCTTATCTTCCTAGAATGTTCTCCAGAACACAAGCACAAGGGTCACCAGGAGTGTAGGCTGAGAAGGGAAGGGTCCATGGGAAGGGCTCAGCACTCCATCATGGTTCCTGATGACGCAGTGATGACATAAGAGGTGATGCTGAAGAGGGCTTAGTGTTGTTGGAACAGTGTTACTCACTGCAGTGTGCATGGAGCCTGGGACTGCCTCAGCCCATCCAAAATTCCCTGGCTTCTTTCTGGTGAAGTATGTACCTGCCTCCTATTTGTTCCATTTTCTAGATCTCAGGTCTTCCCAGACCCCCAGCCGCTGTGGGCTCCAGCTACTTAACTTCTGTTCAGCCACTCCCACCTCAGCTCCATTTCACAATATAGCCTTTCTCGTATGGCTTCTATACGTTATAATTTCTAGACGCCTAGAGCACAGAGGCAGGTCCTGGCGAAGAAGCCCAACTGGGTTTTTGGGAGTACCTACAAGGTCCTGGGGACTTAGATTTTTAGAAGATAGAACTATCTGCATTTACAGAAGTTGCTTGGGTCCATGAAACCTTGTGCTCAAGGCTACACAACAGGATGGTGGCGGGATTGAGATCCGAACCTGCTTTGCCTGGCTTCTGTAATTGACTGTCTCTGTCATGTGATGCTAGCCTGTTTTGTTGTGATTCTTTGCAGAGTTAGCTCTGGGCCAGCAGAGAAGCCAGGATGACCTGCAGCTGCATCTACTCATACAGGATAATAGGGAGGCAGAAGGGAAAAGGGCAGGCTCTGGAGCTCCCAACACTCTGAGAAGTCTGCTCCTTCTACATAGACTCAAATTGTAATGGCTTAAGGCACCATCAGGCTGAGGCTACTTCCATGAAACTGTACCTATTCCTGCCTTAAGGGAATATGATCAACTTGCTCATAGAGTATATGAACAGAGGAAGGCCAATGCTGCACAATGAGGGATAATAATGCACCAAGCCAAATCTTCAACACTCAGGAGGCTTGGGTGCAATAGCTTTAGGACCAGGCTGTCCCAGACTCTTCCTCTAGCCCATGGGATTAGTGCCCCAGGTATCCTCAAACTTTGTTCTGCCCATGTATTACTTGACCCAGCACAGACAAGAGGGTCTGGGAAATAATGGGTTGTAACGGGGCTTCTAGAGTAAGCAGAGGCCCTTGTGTCCGTTTTGTTCATCTGGTTTTAACACAGGCAGCACATTTCCTGAAAGCCTACACGACTCAACCTTTGTCCCCAGACTCCTGAACAGTCAGGTGACTAGCATGTGAGGTGCCTTGGTGGGGGGCACCTGTCACCAGCCTCTAGATTGTGACCTTGCTATGATTAGACTACAGATCACCCACCCTTATCAAAACTATCCACAGCCTTAATCTGAGGATGATTCAGCCAGCATGGAAGGTCGTGCCTTCTGCACCTGGCCTACAAGGAAGCAGGATGTGTTCTAGCAGTCACTGAATCCTAGAATATTTGTCTTTCCATTAAACTCACAAGAGCAAAATACTGAAATACTAAAATTGCCACACCTCATTGGAGGCCCATGATCAGGCCTGGTACAGATTAGAAGCTTTTGCACCAACCAGAGCCCTGTGTTCAGTGTCCTATTAGTGTGGGGTTGGATTAGTGTTGGTGAATCATCTTTGTTTCTAAACATGTAGAAATCTGGAATCTTTACAGACCCCTGTGTGTGTGTGTATGTGTGTGTGTGTGAGAGAGAGAGGGGGGAGATTTGTGAATGTATGTGTATGAGAGAGGAGAGAGATGTATTTGTGTGTGTTCATGTATGTGGGTGTGGGCATGCCCCAGCATTTTGGTGATGGTCAGAAGACAGCCTTCAGGCACCAGTACTTGCCTTTCTACCTTGTTTGAGACAAGGTCTCTTTGTGAGGCTAACTGGCTGCAACATGTCTGGAGATTGTTCTATCTCTGCCTCCATCTTCCTGTGGGGGCAAGCTGGGCTTACAGATGCTACTGCATTTGTTTTGTTTTGTTTGTTTTTTGCTTGTTTGTTTTAATTTTTAAATTGTTTTGTGTGTGGGTTCTGAGGATCTGAACTCGAGTCATCATGCTTTGCGTGGCAAGTGCTTTTACCCACTACACCATCTCCCCAGTTCCATGTTTCTTCTTTTAGTAGCTCAAATTCTCCGCCAGAATTGTGGGATTCTGTTGTCTGGGTGCTGGACAGGTCTGTAAGAGGATGGACCTATGAGGGTACCCTGGGCTAGATTGCCTGCTGGTTAATGTGATCATTATTTTGGCTTCGGTCCGCGCACACTGTTACCTATGATCTCAAATATCCGGTGGAAAGTGTGGTGGCTTAAGACCCTAAGGATCACAGTACCTTTGGAGAACGTGATAGATGTCTGGAGGGTTCTCTTTGTTTGGGGTTCCCAGGCTGGTCCTCAGCATCCTTGGAACCAAAGCTAAAAACCCAGCTGGAAAAGCACCAGAGGGACCGGTGCCAGGCCCCCACCTTCCATGTGGCCAGGCCATGTGTGGGGCCATTAGGATTTTTCCATGGCTCCTGTAGAGCATACCTTCGTTGGTCAGAGGCTTCTCAAGGAGGGGACAGTGATTAATGTTTTATGGACGAGCTGCTGGGCATGATGCCTTGTTTTCTTTAGGTTTAGAATACAATGAAGACGATGATTGGAATTTGCTGCTTAGCAAAGGGGGCTGGGTGAGGCCATTCTTGGGAGGCCAAGGACCAAAGGTGCTGGTGTTTACCATTCTTAGGGCCAAAAGGGAAGGGAGGCGAAGTCCTTGCTTACAGGGCCATCTTTAACAGCCTCATGGGACCATCATTCCCCATCTGCACTTTGTGACCGATGCTCAGTGGGGCCAGTGACAGAGGGTGTCCGGCAATTTCAAGGAACTTGCCTACCCAGGTGATTCGCCTTCATTCTGGTAAACTACTTGGGCTGCATGTAGAGTTTGCTCCATAATTCTTCTCGAAGCTCACTGATTGGGCATAGAGAGAGGATTCCACTGATCTGCAGCTGTAGGGCAACTAGGCTGCATTTTTTTAAAGATAAAGTCTCCAGGTTGGCCTTGAAGTCTCTATGCAGCTAAGGATGATCTTGACTTCTGATCCTCCAGCTTCTACCTTCCAGGTGCTGAGCCACCAAGCCTATTTTACACAATGCTGGGGGCAGAATCCAGGGCCTCAGGAATGCTAGGCAGTACTCCACCATCTGAGCTACCTCCATTCCTAGTCTCCCTGTCTGTTTTTAAAAGACAGTAATTCTCTCAGGCGGGAGAATACATTTCATTCATAAAACTGCCCATCCAGTAAAGGTTAAGGGCCAGAGTGTATGTGTACATGCACTTGTGTTGAGGTGGGACAGCTTCCATCTGTTAAAACCTGTTCTAGTCCATCCTTCTACAGACTCTTCCCTGTAGTTTTCTGTCCTGGGGAAAACCAGTTCAAGCTTTTATGGGTACACAGACTCAGGTCTCTGGGAATTTGAAGCCTAGCTAAGGACCAAGACTACCACACAAGCAAAAGCCACAGAAATACCACCTGCCATTAGGGACTCTATCCATGGGTGAGGTTTGGTTGGCCCACCTCCATCCTGCTGTTCACATTTAACTAGCTCAGTTTGGGTAACTGGGGGGGGGGGAACTAGCAATGCTCTAAAATAAGCTGCAAATAAGTGACAGGCTCATAATTTGTGTGCAGTTATGATATCACAGGCAAGGAAAGAGGGGCTGCAAACTAGTCTAATCCAGAGAGGGGGGATATGAAAACCCAAAACGTTGATAAAGAGAGGCAGGTCGCAGTCTCTGATGTTCTGGAGGAGGCCAGTGTGTCCGGATACCTTATTGACATGAACTTCACTATCGCTAGTAATGCAACTCAAATAGAAAACTGAAACCAAAGAAAGCAATAAGATGCATTCGAGTTAATTTTCAAATTGATGGGGGGCATCTATGCCTTTGAATTGTTGTATCTCGAGTTATTTGGGAGGATGTGCTTGTGTGTGTATGTGTATGTGCACATGTGCATGCATGTGTATGTCTCTATGTCACTCTCTCTCTCTCTCTCTCTCTCTCTCTGTGTGTGTGTGTGTGTGTGTGTGTGTGTGTGTGTGTGTGTTCAGTTCACTGCAGAGAGCTGCCAGGTCTCTATGTGGAGAGCCCATACTAAATCTGAGCTGACTACAGAATTTATTGGAGGACTACATTTGCCCAAATATGCTATGCCTTTCTGGTCACTTATTTGAACTCCAAGGACCTTTCTTTTACCTGAGTTTTGAACGACATGAGGGTAGGCCTCACTTCTGAGCAGAGGCACTCAGTGCTGTGTATAACAAGCAAAGCAAGCCCCTGGGTGGCTCTGCCAGGTCAGGTGACATCAATGTCCCTAGATACCTTCTTTGTAGATGTGTTGTCTGAACTCACATCTT